GAATACCAATGTCAGGAAAACAGAGCAAGCACAAATAAACAACTTCATTGTAAACCTCAGACTTCTCGAAAAAAAAGCACAGGCTAAGCCAAAAGCTCATATGAGGAAGAAAATTATAAAGATCAGAACAGAAATTAACACATTGGAGACTAAATAAACAGTACAAAGAATCAGTGAATACATGAGTTCGTTGCTTGGAAGATTAAATAAAATCAACAAACTCTTATCCAATCTTATCAAAAAGAGAAGACTAAAACGCACAAAATTAGGAATAAAAATGGTGACATCATAATGGACCCTGCAGAAATCCAGAAGATCATCTGTACCTGCTTTGAGAACTTGTATTCTAATAAGATGGAAAATGCAGAAGAAATTAAGTTTCCTAGATACATACATATGAATTACCAAAATTGAATCAAGAAGATATAAAAATCCTAAATAAACCAATACCAGTCAGTGAAATAGAAGATGTAATTAAAAACTTCCCAGCAAAGAAAAGCCCAGGCCCTGTTGGATTCACTGCTGAATTCTACAACAGATTTAGAGAAGACCTAACACCACTACTTGTCAAACTCTTTAATGAAATGGAAAGGGAAGCACTACTCCCAAATTCATTCCTTGAAGCAAGCATTATTCTGATACCCAAACCGCAGATGGACTCCACTAAGAAAGAGAAGTACAAGCCAGTTTTCCTAACGAACATAGATGCAAAAATCCTCAATAAGATACTGGCAGACAGAATGCATCACATCGTCAAGGAGATTATATACCATGACCAAGTGGGGTTCATCCCAGGGATTCAGGGGTGGTTCAGGATACGTAAATCAATAAATATAATACACCATATTAACACAACCAAGGACAAAAATAGTGTGATCATCTCAATAGATGTAGGAAAAGCTTTTGACAAAGTCTAGCGCTCATTCATGATAAAAAAAAAAAAATCCTACAGAAAATTGGAATAGATGTTTTTTTCCTCAGTCTGATAAAAGCTATCTATGAAAAACCAACAGCCAGCATCATACTAAATGGACAAAAACTGAAGACTTTCTCTAAAATCAGGAACAAGACAAGGATGTCCACTGCCTCCACTCTTATTCAGCATAGTTCTTGAAACTTTAGCCAGAACAATTAGACAATAGAAAGTAATAAAAGGAATAATAATAGGAAAGGAAGAAGTTAAATTATCATTGTTTGCAGATAACAGGATACTCTTGGGTAGATGACAAGATGCTCTTGGGTAAGAAGAACCAATATAATGAAAATGACCATACCTCCAAAACTGTTATACAGATTTAATGCAATTCCCATCAAAATTCCAGTGGTGTATCTCACAGAATTAGAGAAAACAATCCTAAAATTCATTTGGAACCAGAAGAGACCTAGAATAACAAAGGCAGTTCTGGGTAGCAAAGGCAAAGCAGGGCACTGGCAAAAAAACAAACCTGGAGATTAATGGAACAGATTAGTAGATGCAGAGAGAATGCCAGATGTACTCAGCTACCTTATATTTGACAAAGGTGCCAAACAAAGAGGAAGAAAGGTACCCTCCTTAATGGTGCTCAAAAAACTGGCTCTGCACATGCCAAAGATATGTACCAAAGTTCAAAATGGTTCAAAGATCTAAATGTTAAAACAGAATCATTAAATCTGCTGGAAGATAGAATAGGTAAAACTCTTGAAGATACTGGTATAGGCAAAGACTTTCTGAGTAAAACCCCTGTCACATAGAAATTATCACAAAGAATCAACAATTGGGATCTCATCTTATTAAAAAGAGTTTGCACAGCAAAAGAAACTACTAAGAGAGTGAAGAGACAACCTACAGTGTGAGAAACTACTAAGAGAGTGAAGAGACAACCTACAGTGTGAGAAAATACTAAGAGAGTGAAGAGACAACCTACAGTGTGAGAAAAAAATGTTTACCAGCTATTCCTCAGACAAATGATTACTATTGAGAATGTATAAAGAACTCAATAAAGTCAGACGTCACAGATTTAAAGACCCAATCCAAAAATGGGCATCTGAGATGAACACACACTTCTCAGATGAAGAAATATCAACAGCAAATAAATATATGAAAAAATATTTAACATCACTGGTCATTTGAGAGATGCAAATTAGAACACAGATTCCTTCTCACCCCAAAAAGAATGGCTATCATCAAGAAATCAACTGATAACAAATACTGGAGGAGCTGTGGAGAAAAAAGAACTAGTTTCCACTGTTGATGGGAGTGTCGACTGGTGCAACCACTGTGGAAATCAATGTGGAGATTCCTCAGAAAACCAGGATCGGAGATCCCATTTGACCCAGCTGTTCCCCATCTCGGTATCTTCCTAGAAGAATTAAAAACATTATACCACAGTGATACATGCATCCATGTTTATAGCAGCACAATTTGTAATAGGTAGATCTTGGAAACAACCCAAGTGTCCATCCACCAAGGAATGGATAAAAAAGATGTATTTTCATATGATGGAGTGCTATTCAGCCATAAAGAGTAAACTAGAGACTTACAGGTAAATGGATGCAACTCAAGAAAATACTCTTAAGTGAAATAAACCAGATGCACATTGTAAACATCATATTGCCTCCTAAGTATGAAAATTTTAAAGGGTAAATAAGATCCAAAATGTACAACAGATACTGTAAAATGAGAAGGAACTTCAAAAGGAAAGAGAAATGGATGGGATGGGGGAATGGAGAAAAGAAGGGAAAAGTAAAAAGTATATATATATATATATATATATATATATATATAGAGAGAGAGAGAGAGAGAGAGAGAGAGAGAGAGAGTACTAATTTCTTCTAGTTCATTGGAAAGGTTTGTGCTAATACTGTATGGACAATTAAATGCTTATATCTTGTTCTCTGAGGAAATATAACAGTACATAATTATTTACCATTGTTACTATTCTGTTGTTTTGAAATTTTGGGTTTTTTCCCTTTAAAACAAAAGATACATATATGAGTATTACATATATACAGAGTTTGGGGAAAAGCACTACTAAAGTACCCAAAAGAGAATTCATTTTTACTATCTAGAGTCTGTTAATAGTGCCACGTTGCTTCTGTAAGTTTAAAATTGCAACCTGTCAGTTGTTGACTAAGAATCTGATACAGAAAGCCCCTATAGATTATTTTTGAGTTTTAAACTTGACATGTTGTTTTGATGTTACGATAAAAATGGTACAGGGGCTGGGGATTTAGCTCAGCAGCAAAAGCGCCTGCCTGGCAAGCGCAAGGTCGTGAGTTCGGTTCCCGGTACCGGAGAAAAACCAAAAAAAAAAAAAAACAACAAATAAAAATGGTACAGTAGTTCTCTAGTACAATAATTCCCTTTATTACAAGACCCCTGTCTTGGTTACTTTTCTCTTGTTGCTGAGACAAAATACCTGATGCTCAAAATTAGGAAAGGAAAGGTTTATTTATCTTACAGTTTGTGGAGGTTTCAGTCCATACTCAGCTGGCTCCAAGGCAGGGTGGCACATGGCAGAGGGTAACAGTTCCTATAGGTGGAAAACAGAAAAAGCAACAAGAGCAAAAGAGAGGAACAGCCAGAACAAGCTTCTTTCCTTCTCTTATATTGTATGCAGGCTCCCGGCCCCAGGGTGGGTGTAGCACTCACACCCATAATCCCAGCATTGGACCATGGATCATTCATAAACTCTAGAAGTGCGCCCCATGACTGCATGAAGCTTTGGGGGGACGTGCAGACACAAACCATAACAACCCCTTAATGGATGTCTGACACTATAGCTAGTACCTGTTAGCTTTCCATCACTGACAGAATACCTGAGATAATTAACTTAAAGAGAAGAAAGGTTTATTTTGGCTGATAATTTTAGAAATATCTGTCCATGGTCACTTGGTCCTATTTATTTGGCTTGTAATAGCACAGTACACCATGGCACAGGTGTATGATAGAGGAGACCTGTTCACTTCATGGTAGCCAGGAATCAAAGAGCATGATAAAAAGGACTGAGATCCCAGTATTCCCTTCAGAGACAGGCCCTCTGATTCAGCTGCCTTCCAGTATGCCCAAAAGTCGCACCTCAGGCTAACAACCATGCCTTTGACACATGGACCTTTGAGGGACACTGCAGATTGAAACTATAGCAGCAAACCTTACTTAGCCTATATTTTTGCGTATACATATGTACCTGTGATAAAGTTTAATTTTTAAATAAGCCACAGTAAGAGGTTAACAACAATAATAGTAAAATAATACACCTGTAACAATACACTGTAATAAAAATTACATGAATGTAATCTGGTTCTTTTTCAAAATTCCTTATTGTACTTATTCTTGTCTGATGATGTGAAATCATACAGTGTTGAAACGGTGAGAAGAATTCAGGTGAATGAAGTAGGTCTTATGATGTAGCATTAGGCTACTGTTGACCTTTTGACTGTATGTCAGAAGGCGCATTCACTTTGGGTGATCCTGGATCATCGAGTCCTTATGTTATCAGGCAAGTAGCGTATACAGTGTGGATACACTAAACATGTAAACATGGTTTACATCCTTAACAGAGTAGAATTGGTTACCCAAAATTTCATCAGCATGCAATTTAAAACTTAGAGGTTGTTTATTGCTGCAATTTTCCATTTAACATATTAAGACCAGAGGTGAGTGCAAGTAATTGGCACCTTAGAAAGTAACATTATAGATAAAGGAGAAATTACTTTTGTTAATGTTTATCAATTACTTTTTTTTGGTTATTTTCATGAATTGCATCATTTGATCTTTCAACAGTCCTATGAAGAAGTTACTGTTCATATCTGTGTTTTTTCAGCCCATTAAAATAAGGCTTAAAGAGGTCACATAACTTCCTACAGCTTCACAGTAATGATGAAAGTGAATTATGACCCTTCACTCCAAATTATTTTTACTCTTCATACTTAAAACAGCAGTGTATAAAACAAAAACTACAGAAACGTGAACCTTTTGCCCTGAATTTTTCTTTGTATGTTTATATTATTTTTTCCTTTAGGTTCACAATATTCTTGCAGAAATGGTGATGGGGGGAATGGTATTGGAGACCAATATGAATGAAATTGTTACACAAATTGATGCACAAAATAAACTGGAGAAATCTGAGGTAAGAATAGAAAATGCTTTAGTTATAGAAGGTTCTAAGCATGGTTATAAATAATGCATGATTGTATCTCACACTGTTTGTCATTCAGTATTGCCCTCTAGGTACAGCTGGTATTGCTTACTTAGTTTTAAAAGATGAAATATACACATTTTAGTATGTTAAATGTCCTGTGAGTATTATCCACCAAAAAGCTTTATGTGTGCTTTTAACCACAACTGTCACTACACTGGGTAATAAACACAGTTCCATGTTTTGTTTCAGGAAAAGGGAAGGGAGAAAAACTGAAATTCTTATTGGGGGAGTAATATTTAAGTTACAACAGTGCTTAGTAAGTCTTAGTGTATATTGAAAAGAGAAATTCAGTATCTCCTCCATCTTTTAATTCTGGGTCATCCCTATGGTCATTCACAAGTTAGTTGAGTCACCTATTTTGTACATTAATACATATATTTGTTATTTTATTACATTCTAAGGGAAAAGATTTTGTTTTTATACTTCACTAACTTTATAGTGTTAGATTTAGTGTTAGAATGGGTGAGTAAGGACACTAAAACATTTTAGTATCGTGTAAATGCTCCTTTAAAGTTTTAATGACTCCTGAGACAAGAACTGGACTGAACCACTTAAATTGACATTATTATGGTGGTTTCTTACTATCATAGCAGAATTTAAAAAGGAGAATTCTCTTGATAACTCACTCATTGCTGTCCTTATTTGAGGATATTGTTATATTTGTTATTTATGCTCATAACTCAGATTGGAAAAACATTCACAGTTATAGCATGAACTCACATGTTTGGTTGTTTTAAAGAAAATAATACTATAAAAAAGTAAAATATTAATACTGTAGCATTAATTTACTACAGGAGAGTTCTCAAATTTTTTTATCATGTTGGTATTTTAGAGGATCAGTTTGACATTTCTGTGCTTATTTGAATTGAAGGAAATACATAAGGACAGACACACCTGAAACTGGAGGGTTAGAAACTTTCTATAAAAAGATTTCCCATATCGCAGTTTCCTAATCCTATTGGTTTCTCTAGAGAGCCTTGTAATGGTGATGAAGAGCTTAAATGTAGGACTGTTTTAAGTAACTATACTGTATGTTTTTATGTTCTATATTATTTTTTAAAATACTGATTTTTGAAAAGGGAAAACAAAGTAGGTTACTAGAGAAAACTTTTGTTAAAGTGTTAAAATAACTTTAAATATATTAAGATTTTATGGTTATAGATTTTAAATGCCAAGGTATAGTGACATAATCCATTAATAGTAAGTCTAAAATGGATCATTTGTGAATTTGTACCATTATCAGTGAAACTATATCGACCAGTTGTTCGCAGTTTTCACATTTCCAGGTCCTTGACTCCTTCCTTTGGTGGTGTCCTTTTTCCTTTTGCTCCTTAGTGTGCTGTATACAATGTTTACAGAAGTTATGAAGGGTCTGTAACAAGTGCATTATGAATACTTGCTTTTTGAATGTCCAGTAAAACTGTTAATGTGACAGATTTTCTTATCTATAAAGAAGAGTAAGCTGGGCATGGTGACACTTGTAATCCCAGTGCTTAGGATGCTGAAGCAGTCAAGAATTCAAGGTTGGTCTGGGCTGCATAAGGAGACTCTGTTATAAAAAAAAAAAAAGAAGGAAGCAGGCAACCTGTAAAATGCAGTGTTCATATTTTTAATTGAATACAGTAGTTCTAAAATTACTAAACATTAAGAACTCTTTTTACAGAAACAGTATTATTTAAATACTCTAGAATACTGGTGAAACTTCTATTGCTCACCCACTGATCATCTTTAAACATATGATCAGTTGTTATCTGTTACCAAATCAGTTTTTTTTCCCTGAACCTTACAAAAAGATATGTTTTAATCGGATTGGGGATAAACCACAAAATTAGGTTTTCAGATGTTTCTGTATATATTTTATTATAATGTTTTAATTATGAAATAGGATTTTGAGTCAAAGTGAACCCAGTTAGTTCTGTTCATATTTTAAGGAATAGTCTTGAAAATTATATTGATTTTGTGTCATTTTTCAGAAATTATCACATATTTTAAGTATGTTTAGAAGTCGACCATCTTTATTCCAAACACTTTGGGTTTTTTTTTTTTTGTTTGGTTTTGTTTTTTTGAGACAGGGTGTCGACTGGCCTTGAGCTCACTTTGTAGCACAGGCTGGTCTTGAACTTGCAACGATCCTCTTGCCTCAGCCTCCTGAGTGCTGGGTTTACAGGCATATGCCACCACTCCCAGTTTATTCCAAACACTTTTAAAAGTGTCAAAACTTTTCATATGCTTTTCATTTCCATGTTACTAGTCAAATCTCCTAAAAATCTGACTTTATAGACTAATCCACAATTATTTGAGAGCAAGATATAAATTTAGTAATCTCTTACTAAATTTGTTGACATTATAAAGTAAAAGCTTAAGAAAAACAAAATCCTAAATATCATTATTCATGAACTGATTATTTTTATCATATAAGCAATACTTTAGGAGTAGCATTTATTTTTTTAAAACATCAGTCTGAATATAATTAAGATACAGCTTTTAAAATACATGGATTCATCTAGGTGCCTGTCAGAAATCACAGATTTTATTGTATTGCGTTAAAGGCAGTATGTTTTCAGAGACGGAAGAAAGCGACCAGTTAATTCAGCACCTAGATAGAGGCAAGCAAAAATCTACCAGATCCTCAAAGAAAGGAGAAAGAAAGTTGTGCTCCGAATGTATTTTCTTCCAGTCTGTTTGGATAGAAAAAGTGATTTACTATAGCATGGGATCTTGGGAGAGGGGGGCTTGAGCTGGAAGATGGTGGGATTGGGGGGAAATTTTAAGATGCATCCATGAATCTGCCTAAAAATAAAGATTCTGGGGGAGGAGGGTGGAGGTAGAGGGGTGGGCCTGGGGAGAGTCATTAGCTTTTACATATTTCATGTTATTTTTAAGATGGGTAAATGGGTCTGAATTCAGTCACTACTTTTAAAAGTCAGTCCTCTTTCTGAACATCCTGATCTTTTTAGCTCTTTCCATTCTTCTCTCTTACAGACCTTTATCTTTCAGTCTCCCAGACAGGACAGGTAGACAAGGTATTGCTGACTTCGAGAAAAAATGTACTTTAACAAAGGGAAAGCAAAATGATGTCAAAGGCAATTAATTATCTAGGCCAGACTCAAAAATTCTTTGTGTTAATGAACCCATATAGTCCCTGTAGCCTATTTTTCATTCTAGCTCCTCCTGTAGTTTTTTCATCTTTTATTGGACTTAGTGTATTTTAGTAGTATATCATTGATGTCATGTTTGTTCTGTTTTGTCTGCCTGCATTGTAAAAGGAAAGTTTAAATTTTTGTTCGTTCTTTTTTTAAAAAAATTGTCATTTTAACTGACAAATTGTACAAATGACAATATGCTTTGTGTATAAAACTTAGTTTATTTTGAGCATGATGTAGCAGAACCAGTCCTAATTTAACTCTCCATCTCCAGATTTTATTTTCTGTCTCTAAATTAGAATTCTAACATAAAATCACCTACTGGGTCTTGGAATCTGTGAATTTAAAAACTAAAAGCTGAACCTGTAGAGTTCTGTGTACAAAATGGGGGGTAGGAAAGACTTAGAGTAATGACTTAATAGCGCACTCACCACCTCAAAATGGTTTTCAGTTCCAAAGTCTTAACAGAATTGTGTTTACAGTTTTGACCTGCAGGTGTGTATTAATAATGACCAACAAGATAGAAGATCAGAATCTAAAACTTGAATTAAATTCTCTGAAAATAAATTAAATATATTGACCAAAATTTAATGGATTTCTACTGTAGCAAACCTCTGACATCTAAATATGTCATAATCAGAATCAGTCACATACTGTAAAACCTGAATAGTGTGGTGGTAAAGAATATTGGCAAATATTGCAAGTGTTTTTAATAGGTCTCTAGCTTTATAAAACTTTTTTCACTTTTTCTGTACATATTTTTCACACCATAAGTTAATGGAGTGAATTCTTTTTTGAAAAATTCCACATAGATTGTGATAAGTAGTTTTTTATTTAACAGTGCCCCCTTAGAAAAGAGTAAAAATGATTGTAAGGTTCCAATCAAAATTTTCTAGGAGAAAATTTGACTCCTGTGAAGGGAAAAAAAAAATACATATATAGAGACCATAAATGTAAGTGACATGAAGGTACTCTTGGCATAATACAGCCTACTATTTTGCAGAATTCTTTTT